TATAATATGATTATGTTATTTACATTGTTATATTAAATGAATATTCAACATTTCTTAAAAATAACATAGTTATGAATAAGTGAACAAATAATATAAAAATTATATATTTTAAAACATAAATTCTGAGATAAATGAATTTACGTGTTAATTTAACATTTTCTAAATTAATTTTACTGAAAAAAATGCTTTCACAGTTTACTTACAAATTGTGTCAGTGTTACATTTTACAGTATTAATTTTTTTACATAATATATGTGTTACTTTCTAACATATTCGTCTTGTGCTAAATTAACACAATTTTTCCAACTGCGTTCAATATATTAAAAAAAAATATCTTATATTGTTTTTATTTCTGAAATCTTGAGGAGTTATGTGATAATGTTTTGAAAAAGGTGCAAGTAATAAAGATAAATAATAAAGCGGCCAAGCAATTAATAGATGATTGCAATTATTTCATGATGATGTGCAATAATCTATGATTATTTAAATGTAAACAAATCGACTCTCCAAGATCTAATCAAGATGGTAGTTTTCATGTCAGGCGTCGTTCTGCGCGTAACTCTCTATCGTGTCACATTCCAAAGCGCCATAAATGCATTATTGAAAACGGCTCGGCCAATGGAGACCTCTATTTCACATAGCTCCTCGATTTAATTAACGCGCCACCAGCGCGTCGCCGCTCCTTTTCCGATGCATTCGATGAAGCACGTATTCCGGGCACGGTACGACCCCGATGTTCTCCAAAACTCAATTAAAATTTCCAGTCGGAGGCCAGCGCCCTGCTCGAGGGCGATGCCAGGGCAGGTATCGCAGGCCGTGCGAGGAATTTAAGGCACGACGTGCAGAGAAAGATCTCGAGGTTGCGCCAGGATCGCGCCTCCTCGGAGGCCTTCCCGTGTAGTGCGAGCAGCGTCGAGAGCCTACCAAGCGGTAGCGGTTCAAGCACGCAGGCTCTGGTACGCGCAGGAAGTAATCACAGCTCGATATCCTGCGAAGACAGAGACGCCGTCAGCCCGACGTCCATCGGCCCGGTCCTGTGTCGAGCGAGGGCACTGGTGGATTACACGCCCAGTCCTTACGACAAGGACGCATTAAAGTTCAAGGTCCGTTTTCATGATAATTGAAATTCTATACGAAACTCTGTAAATGTTAACAGCGTTACGGTAAATTTGTTGTAATTACTTGCAAATACGACTGTATAATTGTACCTTTTTGCAATGTATCTTTATGTTCGCTTCTACTCGCCGTTTTTAATTCTCTCGAGTGCACTGAAAAAAGAATCTGTAATAGTTATAAAATGTTGAATGAAATCATTCCAATCAAACATTTGGTTAATATAATCAAAAATAATTTTACTTTCCTAAATATTTAATAAATATTACTAAATGTTGATTATATTGTTATGTTTGATACGACTTGCTAAATACTTATAAAAAAGTAAAATTATTTTTTATTCAATATATTAATCGAACATTCGATTGAAATTAATTTCATTCAATATTTGGTAGCTATTATCGGACTCTTTTTTCAGTGTTGAAATTATATTGAAATTCATATGTCATTTTTTTCGCGTATTCTGGCTTCTGTTTTTCAAACCATCTAAAGAGGAAATTTGATAATGTTTGATCGAATGTATCGTAATGAAAGGGTTTCCCTTACGAATGCTCGCGTGGCAACGTTGTTTCAGAAAGGGGACGTAATCGATGTGGTACAGATGAACAAGAGCGGACTATGGAAGGGCGTTGTACACAACAGGATAGGCCACTTCAAGTTCATAAACGTCGAGATACTGAACGACAGGGTGCCCAGGCGGGGGGAACCGGAGCGGGGCAAGTGGGGTCAGAGATACAGGCAGAAGCCGGGTTCCGTTCAAGAGCTCTTGCAGAGAATGAATCTTCAGGTAGAGAGAGAGAGAGAGAGAGAGAGAGAGAGAGAGAGAGAGAGAGAGAGAAGGGGGGGAGGGAGAGCAATATCTCGCCGCGGCTTGAACAAACTGATTCGCATTTGCATGGCGTCGAATGCAGAGTAGAGAAACTTGCTTTTATATATTTCTTTATTCGATGTCCCTATTGCGCTCCCATTCCTTGTTCCCCATCATCCCTTTTCTCGTGTCCTCCCGTACTATCGCATCAGCTTTCCAGCTTATACCTTATATAACTTGCAGGTCCCGCAGACCATGACGAGTTCTTTTTGTTCGATTTCTCCCTTCCTATCCGTCTCCTTTTCTCTCTCCTTTAACTCTCGCTTCTTGTTTACGCCTTGCTCATTTTTATCCTCATCTGCTGTACGTCTTGGTATTTCCTTTATCTCATTTTGGTCATTCATTTTCTTTCTGATTTATCTCCAATGTTCGCTGTATACAAAATATCCTGAAACTGCATCGTATGTCTTTCCAATCGCAAATCTTAAAAATCAAATTATTATCAAAATTAGCAATTGTTTTCATATGAAAGTATAAATAGTTATAGGATTTTTTAACAAGTTCCAAGAATTTAAATAGACCACCAAATAAATAGACAACCAAATCTTATTTTTAATTTTATTTTTATCTTAACAGAAATTTGATACTTAAAACTTTAATACATAGATTTTAAATTATTATTATATATTTTTTTTCTCAGATTTATTAATATTAATTGTGTTAATATTTTGCATGTCAAAAATTTATAATTACCTGTAGCTTGTAATTATTTTTAAAAGAACGACTTTAAATTCATTATAAAATTTATGACTAAAAGCACATTCGATACCTTCCTTGAATATTATGTACAGTCTCGCGAATCGACGACAGATTAGACTCGATCGTGATTCACTGTCAAGAGGCGTGTCTCGCAAAGTCTCCAGAGTCGAAGGTACGGAAGCGACAGGAAGGGATGGGACGAAATGATAGGGCGAGGAGTCGCTGTACCGGAAACGTCGTTTCCGATTCAGGAAGCCGTGCCACTTAATTAAGCCGCTATGATCGATCGTTTAATGAGCGTCACAGATTCGTGTGCGCCTTTTCAGCGTCTCGGTATACACTTAATTGAAGCCCGAATGGCCCTCTGTGCGAATTATATCAGCGGATGGAGATCCAAAGTATCTTCTTCTCGATTGATTGCTTGAGACCGTCGTTAAAACTCGCATAACTGTACAGTAACGCCTGAAATGTTTGATTATTGAATATCTTAAAGAGCACGAGATAATTAAGATTCTTTGAAGTGAAGTCCGTCATAATTATAATGCTTCCGTACTAATCAAACTCATGGAGATCTTGCTTTTTAGACATAGTTTTATTACATAACTATTATCATTATTATTATTATATTAAGACATTTATTTTGCAAAGAAATTAATTTTTCTCTCGCACGAATTATAAAGATCAAAGAGGAAAAAATTAACAAAAATTAAAAAAATAAATAGGAAAAAAATTACATTATGAAATATAAAAAGATTTACTTTTTATTCTTTCCAAAAAATTTTTGTTTATCGTTTGAGATTATTTCACTCGTAATGCGTTATCTATATTCAAATCGTGAAGATATAACATTTAATTCAACGTTTTCCAATCAAAGTGTGAGAAATGTTGCTGAGAAGGGAATTCTCTGTAAGCTTCTTAAGATAATTTTATAAGAATTCCGTAAGCTTCTTCCAAGTGTATTAAACTGCAAGCGCATTTCGTTGTACAAGTAAACTATTCAAAGCTCTGTTAAGATGGGGGTAGCGTCTCAAAGATGAATGTTACGTTCGCGCAGGAACATATTCCAGTTTTTGTGCTGAACGGATACGAGGATCTGGAGCTCTTCAGGGAGTTAGAGGCAGCGGATCTGGACTATTTGCGTATACATCAACCTGAGCATCGTGCCAAGATACTCACCGCCGTGCAACTCCTACATGATCTTCAGTGTGAGTATATCGAACGTATAATATACCAGCTACATATGTATTATTCACATCTCCCTAAAGCCCTTTTCATCATCGTTGCTATTTGTCTCACTGCATATATCATGTTACAATTAATACATGTTATACATCTTTAAAATCATATTGTACTTTGATATAAAGGGGACATACTTTATTATTTAATAAAAGGAAATAAAAATGTCACTTTAAACCCTCGCTCTCTATAAATGTGGAATATGAAAATAAAAAATTTTGAAATATTATTTAACTTTATAAAATTCAATAATAAATAAACGGCCAAAATATTCAACTTAGTATTTTGTTTTCATTTTATTTTATTTTTATCCTACTTTATTTAACTTTATTTAATTTTTCATCAGATTTTATTTAGTATTTTATAAAAATGAAAATATTTAAAAAGAATTAAATTGTTATAGAAATGCATTGCACGCACATAAAAAATGTATATTTATATATATTTCGGATGCATTTTAAAATTATTAATAATTTATTAAATCGGTGATTAAATCACGAATTTTCACACGCGCGTGCGCTCTTTTTTTTGTCTATTCTTACAGCGGGCAGCGAGGGTGACCTGGCCTCGAGTTCGGAGGGTGACGAGGTCAGTCGTCTGGTCTTAACCTCCGGTCAAACGTCCGGCCACTGTTCCCCGTTTAATCGACGCCAGTTTCCACGGGACTCTGGCTGTTACGACGCACACAAAAATACAACCAGTCGACGGACCATTAGCCCGGAATCAACCACGACGCCGTCGAAGCTGCCGAGAGAGAACAATCTAGATAACGCGACGGCAATTACGAAGAACACCAGCAGTGCTGGCGGTACGGATGGCAATCTAACTGATGCGAAGGATGACTTTCATCCTAACATACCGATCTCCAGCTCAGTAGCGAGTCAGAAAGAAAGCCAGTTCGACAAATCGCCTCTACTGCGGGGTGGCAACGTGCGGTACATTGCGAAGAGAGGCAACTTTGGCGAGACGGTGGTAATTGAGGACGCTTGCGAAGGCAGCCAGAAACTGGGCGGTATGGTCAAATACATGGTCGGTGGTACCAGTGATCTCGGTCTTGAGAGCACCGGCAATGTCACCGGCCTCAGCCAACGTGGTTGTCTCAGTGAGAAATCTAGCGACTCTGGTGTCAGCTCATCCAGCATTAGCTCGGCACCTCCGCCTAGGGACAAAGTACTTGCTACCGCCAGCGCCGTATCGGATTCGCCGACCAAGACCTTCGGTAGCTTCAACAGAGCGTCGCCAACTTCCCAAGGCAGTAAGAGTCAAAACAACGACGGAAGCTATCAATGAGGAAAAGCACAACAAATTTGTAGGCCGACGAGTCGTGGCGCGACTTTAGCTCGAAGGTAAAAAATACGAAAATAAAGGGATCGAACAATGGAGCGGCTTTAGTTCGGATTCAAAGGATTACACAATCACGATCGTCTTCAAGCTATGATGATACGTCTATAGCCTACGATTCGTCCACGAGATATCTGGGTAATATTGGGATCAAAATGTCTCAGACATTTTATATCCAACAAGAGATGTAGTTATCGAACTAGCGATCCTGACGAACGTACTTGGCAATAAGATATTTCTTCCATTTTAGATGACTCACAAAGTTAAAGCAATTCTAACGAAATTGCAAACGACATATAATAATTGATAGTTGTCGCTATGTCCGCTCATTGCGATGATTATTGTGCGCTCAATCGCATCTCCATTTAAAATATTATATCAAAGCAATATCTTATTTCCTATTATTGTTGTTGGCAAAGTACCAAGGGTCTCTTTGTTTGATAATTCTTGTCACGAGTGCGAATGGAAGTTCTACTATCTCTCTCGATGCAATATCTCTCCGATAGTAATGTCGAGGGAAACATTTTGTTACTTCGTGTCTTTGGATGTGGGAAAGAACTGAGACAAGACTTCCACGAAACCAGCGAAATTTTAACAATTGCAACAAGAGCTCCCCGGAGCATCGGCGAAGTTTCTTCGCGTTTACGTCCGTTTCGGTTCGAACGAGATGCATTTCGAATAGCTCTCGACATCTCGAAACCGCCAAGTCACATCACGCCTAACGTATAGCCGTGTAATTAATAATAAGCGAATACTATGTGATACGGTAGCAATATAACGATCGATTGAATAGGTAAAAAAAAAGAAACAAGCGACCGTCATTTGCGTTACGCGAATCGTCGTCGCGATCCATTTACGTACAATAAATAAAGAAGAAAGAAAAAGGAAACATGAATGAAGATCCAATATAACGTTATGCGTCCGTTTTGATTTCGCGTTCGATATTATCTGTCGGTTTCATCTTTGTCTGGGACGACCTCGCGATTAATCACAGCAAATACTATATAGCTCGTCCGACGAGCGTTCGTCAAGAACTGCCAACGTTATCGAGTTCTCGTCTCTCGTTGAACGGCGATCTCTTATCTCGTATATTTTGGACTCGCTTTTTGTACGTTTGTTCGATCTCGTCGCTAAAAGACGTGCGTTAAACGTGCGCAAACGAGACAGTTATGAATCGTCCCGTGACACTCGAGACAATTTTTCGCTTAATACGGCGCGCATCGTGAGGATCCATCTTAAACATTAATAGAGTAAATGCGGATTATCACAGGATGCCTTACGAGCGTTTTTCACTTACTTAGCTGATTTACGCGACTTTTCAATAAAGCCCGATACGGAACATCGACTCGCGAGGAAATATATCCTACTTACTTTCCATCGTTCGCATATAATTTTGTATAGAGTAGCGAGAACCCGAAGCCGTTCTCCATGGAACGGCGCCGCATTACGCCGCATTTGTCACTCGGACTTTGCTTACTATTAACGACCGACAATCCCCCATCGTCGATGCGACTCAGTACTTCGACACGATGGATAAACCTGTACATGTGTGTATATTGACCACGCTATGGGAAGAAAACGTTGAAAGTTACAAAGATTTTGTATGTACATAGGAAATATTACGCGTAGGACATAACGATGTTTTGTATTGATCTTGCCCGTTTGCCAAAACTTAAAACTATAATATACATACGCGACACATTATATCGTACCGTTGGATCTTATGTACATCTCTTGTATAGTGTAAAATCATAGATGAATTTATGAGACGCGGGAGCGCAATTAGAGAATCAGGGCTGCGAGAACAGGTGTGGGAGGAGCCGAGAAGCCCGATGGATAATAATAAATCGTAAGTAATAATTTTAACTGTTACGAGATGCAGCGACAACTCGACGAAGCGCATTATTAATTAAAATAGAAGAAAGAAAATTAAGTACGTGAGAGGAACGCGCGCCCGCCGCGAACGAACGATCGACAATATCGGCGGATAGCATGCGGAAGCGATCAGTAAATATTAAAGAGTTATCGCGATGCCATATTACGATAAACGCTAAATCATATATTGACAAGTTAATTGAAAAAGTATTTAAAAAATCAATTGCTGTTTACGGTTTTAATCACTTTAGATGATCAAGGAATAACAATCGACAAGAGTGTTAGATATACCTTCAGAGAGGCAATGAATAAATGCTATACATGAATTGATATGTATTGAATATAAACCAAACAGCGAGACTTCCATATGAATTAATATGATCGATGAATTGGAGATTATGGAAACTGCCGTGATCTCAATTCTTTATCGTATTTAAAATATGTTATCGCGATAACAGCTTAACGTTGAAAACGTTTTGCACGACACACGTCATACACTTTTTACACAAATATTGCCATCCATGTAATGTAGAGCATGCTTCTTCTGCCACGTCATTGCGCTACGATCGCACGAAGAGTGCATTGAAGGAGGGACAATGAATTCCCGATCGGCCCGGAAATCGGCTGTGATTAGACCGAACGAGTAGTCGCAAGTTGCTTCCATCGACGTCGAGATTGATTAATGCGATTAACGCTCGATCGCGGCCGCAGCGTGCGATTTTCGTGCCGAGATCGAATTTCGCAATATTGAGATTTACGTCGCGTCCTGCCCACGCGTAAGCTCCATCAGCGGGTACTTTTTTTATCGAGTTTGTGCGATGATCCGATGATCCAAAAGAGAGGCGTCGAGAGAACGTACCCGATAAACGGAACGTCGATTTCGGTGATGTCTGCTAGTTTATCCGTTCCATCGAGAGTACCAACATGTGCAGAGAATGAGTGAAGTGGCTGTTATTAAAGGGAGCTGAAAGGGGGCTGAAACAGCGAGAAAGGATGAGAGGGATGATTGAAAATTGAATATGCGTGTGCATACGTGTGGTGTGTGTGTGTGTGTGTGTGTGTGTGTGTGTGAGAGAAGATGTGTGAAAGAGAAAGAGAGAGAAAGGAAAGGCGGGAGAGTATAGGCGAGAGTATAGGCGACGCGATGTTAAATTTAGTAACGAGTTTATGAAAATACGAATATAGACACGATAGTGATTTTATTTAGCTCGGAAGAACAAAAAATATGCAGCATTTGATGTAAAGTAAAATTCATTCTAATCGTAGACCCAAGGCGCAGTAATCGAAATAGATAATTTAAGCGTACCCTTAAGGGAAAAACGAGTCGTTGACGAAAGAAGGCCTATAGCGTCGCCTTGCACGATCCCCGAGACGGCGAAGCGATCGCTTAGATAAATTTTATTCGTCGATCGTGAATGCCACGAAGTGCGGCGCTTAGGGTCGAATGAAATTAAGCGTTTACGTAGCGGTCTAGTCCATTCTTCTCGCGTGATTAACGAATATAATGTACATAAAATAATAAAATGATAAAAGAACACAACAGATTTAGAAAACGAATCGCGGCCGCGAATTAGTGCGCATGGTCGTACCTTTTTATAAGCTGATTTTGTATTTATTGATTAATTGCGGGGTTTATAGATGGTCACACACGAATCACACATAATTCTCATCGTATTTCGGTTCTCGTAATGATTTCCAACGATAAGTGTTAATTTATTGACTGTGAATAGAAATAAACGATGGAAGAGATTGAAACGAAAATCATCTCGTATCTGAGCATATTTCATTTCGTGAAAATCATCCCTGGCAAACTTCCGAATCCATAATCCGTTTCATTATCCCTCCAGGAGACAAAGGGGCAACTACACCAGTAAACGGTAAGTGCTTCATTAAAATAACATGTATAGTAATCTCCTAGCGCACTCAACTAAGCAATATTTAATTGACTGTTAAGATTTTCAACCAAGCCAAAGAAAGATGTTAATAGTATAATTAATGCATAATTCATTAATAAAATTTTAATTTTATATTATTATTTTATAAACAAGCAGTCGTTCTCTTTATAGCGATTTACATTAGATTTACATTAGATTTACATTCATATAAAAGTTCCCTTTTCCTATCGAGCCCTTTGTATTAAATAAAGTCAGAGAATCGAAGTTTCTCGAAAAAAGAATTTCTTTCTAGATATGAAGAAGAGTATATTGAAATTATCTGAGGGATAATTCCTTTCGATTTTATTTTTTATTGAAATTCTTTTATTTTATTGAATAAATGTAACGAACTTTTTGCACTAAAATTTAATGATACATCCAACGAACTTTGCAACTACATAACAATTTCGCACACATATTGAAGTAATCGACAAAGAACAATCACGCTGTTTGATTTTATACAATACAAAGCGACGTACGAAGATTCTTCTTGCGATCTCTGTTTTAGAAAATACCCTGCTCAAACGAAATAATTAGATGGTTTCTTGGTCCGATTAACGAGCTCCGTTGACGTTAAGCGTCGCGATGTCGTTTCATAAAGTACGCGACACTCCTGCTTTAACGCTACCACGCGGTGCCATTAGCGGGAAGAAGTTCCGGGTGACAGACGACTCCACGCTCGCAAACTTCACTTTGGTTATCTGCCATTACTTGGGAAAAGATCCTCTTATTTAACTATTCGTCTGCTCGCTCGTCATTGCTCGTAATTGTGGAAACTCCGGGAAACGCAGCCGTCTCTCGCAATACTCGGACAATCCGATGCAACGATCATTATTCCTCATCATTTCCCATGAATTAAATTAAATTATAAATGTACATTTTACGCATTGGTCCGCAAAAGCTTGTCCATTGTCCCTACATGCAATTAAATATCATCGTTGAGCCGCACCTCGTACTCTTAATTGGAGACAATTAATGATAGAATCTCGCAATCTCATTATCGCATGCATTAATTGACATACGAAATCGTTTCCGTTTAATTTCACCGGCACGTTCTCCGTGTCGTACCGGAAATACGTCATCGACATTTGGAGTTATTCGGCCAATAACTACGACCCAATTCGAGCCAACAGTAATGATCGTGCGAGAGACAGACTGACGATCCTTCGAAGAAAGTACGATAAAAAGCACTTAGTAATGTATGTAAATGCACCCTTCGAGGATCACTCCG